CTGTGAAGTTAACAAAGCTAGCAATGGAAGTTCCATATTTAAAGGTAAACAACTTATCTAATGTTTCTTTTTTCATCAAAATGTATTGATATTGAAACACTTATTGAGTGGTATTCATCAGGAGAGTCTTCGAGGGGTCGTGGTGGTTGGATTGGTGATCCGGAGATGTATCTTGATGATCCAAAGAACCCTTACTTTATCTCAACTTTGTCGCGTTGTAGGCCAGTGTTGGTAAAGTTTATCATCTCTAAGTTGTTTTCTTTTTGGTTATGACTGAACTATGTGTTTCTGTTATATTTAATTTTGTTTTTTTTGTATTGGTTGCTTGTTGTAGGTGATTGCTATGCAAGTAAGAAAAGATTATGACTTGAAATTTGGTAACACAGTCAATTTCATCGATGGATTTGGGGTATTGGAGAGGACACTTGGAGAATGGAAAGATCGTCTTGTGGTTCATAAGTGGGAAGAAATCTACAAAAGAAACAACACAAAGCCCGGAGATACAATCATATGTGAGATTTTACGTGAAAGAGGTGTTGTTCATTCCATCAAAGTTCATTTCATTAAGAAATGATTATCATTTGAAGTTTAGAATGAAATATTTTGTCTCTCTTATGCAATGACTATCATTAGTAGCTTTGTCTCTCTTATGCGATGACTATCATTTGTAGTTTCGATGAAACCTTTGTCTCTCTTGTGCTTTTGTTGAACCCTAATGTCTAGTCTCAGATTTATGTTCTGCTTAAGTTAAAACCTTATTGTCTAATCTCTTTTGGAATCCCTAACCTTTACATCTTTCGCACTTATGTTGGTCTTGGTCTCTTTAGGATTTTGTTGAAACTAAGAGAGATTAAAAACAGAGGAATTAGAGTTGAATTAATCCTTTTTGGTTTGAAAATAAGGCCGTTAATATGAACACTTTTACTAAAATTTCATCAAATATATATATATATTTAAAAGTTAATTTCTACAAAAAAAAAAATATTTAATCCCATTTGGTTTAAACGAATTAGATATTTCGTGAGAGCTAAGAAATAAAGACATATAAAGACAGTTTACTTTTTTTTCTCTACAAGAAGTTTTTTTGTTTTTAATAAACAAACTACAAGAAGTTGAGTTGTCCAAATCAACCAACGTCAATAAATTTATAGCAAATCCTTCATTTTTCTTACAAGTTGTAATCTTTCTCACATTTATTGAGCATACATTATTTAATTAATTCCGAATATCATACATTTATTATAAATAATCTACCTTGATTGACCAGAGTTGTTAAACTGCAGTCTATAGATTATTTCTGTTTTTTTTTCTACGTAATTTATTCAGTTAAAATATCTATATTGATAAATCAAAGAAAATGAAATAAGGAAAAAAAAAAGATTATGTTATTATGTATTATCCAACCAATATATTAAAATGATAAATATTTTGATCTCACAATACAACAGAATCTTATCTCAACGCAAACAAACAATTAACCTCTTTGCGTTAGAACTTGGATCATACATTTTAATATGGAAGTATTAAAGACTTTTGCGTCATACCTTTTTGTAGTTGTAACAGGTAAGCTCTAAGAGGATATTATTTGTAACTGAAACAAATAAGAGAAAAGAGAATAAGGAAAAGGTCAAAATGCAAAC